GACTAGGCACAGGAGCTACTCGCTTCTGCTAGAAGAGAAGAAGATGCCACCCATCCTCCACCCGTCCTGTCCCTCCTAGTGTAACCCGATCAGCACTTCAATCCTTTGTAGGAACCGCTTTCTGCAACTTAAAAATATAGTTAAACCTCTATTTCTCATTTTATCACCTGCGGATGGCATCTTGACTCTATAAAAAAAGGGCAACAAAACTTTATTAATGCTTATCATTACTATAAAAAATCCAGTATCCCTTAGAATAGAGGTCAGCAGACGTTTTCTGTAAAGGGCCAGAGAGTAAATATTTTAGGCTTTGCTGGCCATGAGGTTTCTGTCGCAACTCTGGCACTGTAGTGCAAAATCGGCTGGCCATAGACAACAGTAAATCAACGGGCGTGGCTGTCCCAATAAAACTTTATTGCAACTGGCCAGATCTGGCCCATGGAATGTAGTTTGCAACCCCTACCCTAGCCCAATGGTTCTCTCTCTGAACAGCAGAAGCACCCGTTACTGTGATGGGCAGGCCTGGGAATCCTCTCTCTACAAGGCCCCAGGCCAATCCCAGGTGAACCCAGGGCTGGGAACACTGGTGCAGACACTGCAGGGAGTTCAAGATCTTTTGCTGTCTCAGCCCAGCCTGTTCTCTGGCCATCCTAGGTCAGTACTCTTCATTTTCAGATGGAGAAACTGAGGTAGGAACAGGGACACAGGGTTCGCTGGGAAGCCAGGCCTTGAGCCTGGGAGACCTGCCTCTGTTCAGAGCGTTGCTCATCACGCTGTGCTCTTTTATTCACACACATGCAGCTGTCACTCAGCCCTTGAGATGTGAGTAAACCCGCTGCTGCCCCCTGCCTGAACGTGCAAATCAGGTCTGTGTCTGTACCCGCTCCCGCCATGAAATTCAACAGACTTAGGTTTAGAAAATACATGCTTATCTGAGAACAGTCCTCCCCTCAGCCCTACCTCCTTCCCTAGAGATATTTTTAAAAAACAAAACAACACAGTGATACAGGAGTTACAAGTGTATTCTTTCCTGCTGGGCCTGATCTTAAGAGATGATTGAGCACCTCAGCCGGTTCCTGGCTTATCAGCCTGCGCACATGGATGAGGCTGAGATGACATTAATGTTTAAAACATCACCGCTTCCCAATTGATCGTTTCCCCTATGGACTTGGGAGTGAAAAAATTAAAATTAAGCTGACTAAAGTCTGAACGTACCAGTGCAATGTCTTATACAGAAAGACAGGTTTGTGAAGGAGGAAGGACTTGGAACCTGAGCCATTGAATTGAAGGCATGGATAAGATCGGCCTTTAAACCTCCTAGGACCGATGTACAAATGAACTAGTGGTTCACCCCACGGAAGCAGGAACGGGACTGCCACCTCTTCATAGCCACCCTCAGAGATGGACACAGACCGGGCCAGCACATGTGGCATCGCTTCTGCACGCTGCGGACGGACATCAGCTGCCTTTCCCCACTGAGCGTCCGCTAGGCGGGCTGACTCCTGCTGCTGTCCCTCAGGCATGAGAACTTGCTGATCCCTGGGCCAATCAGCCCCCGTGGCCCTGACACACGTGGCAGACGCTGGAATCTCCCGCTGGGTACGCTGCAGCTCTGCGCCCCAAAGGCGGAGGCCCTGCCTCAGGGTCTTCAACCTGTTTTCTAACTGTGGCTACAGACACGTTAGAAATGAAGAGAAATGTAGAAAAACGCAGAGATCCTAGCTCATGGCCCACTACTCCTGTCACAATTACACATGTTTTCAGTAAGAGCCTTCCAACCCTTGGCTTCTGTTTCTTGACTTCCTTTTCTCCAGTGATCCTGTGTCCTCTATCCTACCCTGGCTACTTCCTCCCGTGGTAACTAGCCCTTGTCATGACCATACCTGCAACCCCATCACAACCTCGGTTCCTAGCATCACATGCTGGCCACCACCTCCTGGCGCACCCACTGGCTTCCTCTACTGGGAACTCTTCAATCCCACTCATCCTACCAGCTTTTCACTTTCCCTTACACCCCTGATGCCTTCCGTTCTGCCCTGACCTCAAGTCAATTATATGGCCAGTCATTATAATCACTCCCTTGCACACACCCTCAATCCCCACCCCCTGAATCCCTCCCAATCAATGGCATTCCCCTGCCAAACCCCCAACCCTAGTAAAAATCCATCTCTCCAGTCACGATGAGCTTGTGCGTGCACAGCTGGCGGAAAAAAAAATAGACAGCAATGCTGACGTTTTTTTTAGCCTCAGCACTACTGACATTTTGAATAAGATAATTCATTGTTGTGGGGGGGGGCTGTCCTGCATACTGTGACCTCTACCCACTACCTAATGTCCCCCAAGTTGTGACAATCAAAAATGTCTGCAGACATTGCTAAAAGTCCCCTCGGAGGCAAAATCGCCCCAGGTCGAGAGCCATTCTTTATTTTAATGACTTCTAACATCAAGTGGGCCCTCAGCCCTGCGTGGCAATCATACAGCACATCCCCCCTCAACTGTCCCTCCAGTCTCCTGGATGACGGTTTTATACCTTCTTTTGTCTCCTCAAACCTGCTTCCTCACCGACAGCTGATGGCCTTGACGGAGAAATAGAAGCAATCAGAGTTCCCTCCAGCTCCCACTGCCAAACAGCTGTGCCCGCGAGCTTTGCATTCTCTCCTGTTGTGATGCTCCACTTGTGTGTTCGCCTCTCAAGGACATCTCTCCGGCAGTGTTCCGCTCGGGCCGCATCACGCCCATCAGCAAGAGGCTGCCTTCCCCCAACCGAAAAGCAAACAAAAACTCCTCGATCCCCAAGCCTCCTTGAGCTACTGCCATTTCTGTGACCCTGACAGCAGATCCCCCTTCAAGAACAGACTGTGCCTGCTGTTTCTTCCTGTCTTCTGTTCTCCTTGAACCCACTCCAATCAGACATCAGCCCCCATCACCCCACCAAAATGCTCTAGTCAAGGCCACTGACCAACTTACAATGCCAGGAGCAAGTCGGTCTTCAGCCTATCAACCTGTCGTATCAGCAACATTTGACATAACTGACCTTTGCCCTTGATCCACACACACACAAAATCTCTCCAGGTTTTCCCCCCACTGCCTCTCTCTCTTTAAATATATTTTTATTGATTTCAGAGAGGAAGGGAGAAGGAGAGAGATAGAAACAGCAGTGATGAGAATCATGGATCGGCTGCCTCCACTACCTCTCTTCTGTCTCTCTTGCTGATTCTTCCTCATCTGCCAAATCTCTAAATGTCAAAGGGCTCGAGGGTTCAGTCCTTGGACTTCTCTTGAGCTTCTCTTCCTCTCTTGATGTCTCATCATCTTGTCGTCTCATCATCATCTCTGGTGCGTGTGCCACATGCACGTGTGGCCCAGAGCTGTCCCCCAACTCCATGTCTAATAGCCAACATCGTTATCTCCACCTGGATGTGAATTAAGCATCTCCAACTTAGCCACCCAATCCCAAGCTCCTGTAGTCTTCCCCATCTTAACAACAACGCCATCTTTCTAGTTGTGTAGGCCCCAAATTTGAGAGTGTTCCTACATCCCTCTCCTTTTTTCACACCTTACATTAATAAATCATATTGGTTCTACTTTCTAAATGTATCAGTCCAACCATTCATACAACCTCCACAGCTGTCACTCTGGTCCAAGCCACATCTCTTGCCTGGATTATTTTAATAGTCTAACTGCTTAGAAGACTTCTTGCTTCCCTGCAGTTCAGTGTCAAAATGCAGAGATCCTACTATGTGCATTTTGATCCTACTATGTGCATTGTCAAAATGCAGAGATCCTACTATGTGCAGCCGAAGGGACTCTTTAAAAACTGTAAGCATGATTGTGTCAACTCTCTCCACGACTCTCCACTGGCTTCCCATCTCACCAGAGTAAAAGCTGAAGTCCGGACGATGACCTCATGGAGCCCCGTGTGCGTGCTACACTGCTGCCTCTCTGCTTCCACCTCCTATTTTTACTCCTCACTCCATGTTGGCCTTAACTGCTTATGAACACTAGAGACACTCCTGCCGTCTGTCATCCTCCCATGTTTTACTTGTCTTCTATTTGCTGTCCCCTATCCACTATAAGTTCTGTGGGGACAGGGATTTCTGTGTTTGGTCCCCAATGTGTCCCTAACACCTTGAACAGTGTCTGGCAATGTTGAGTGACCAGAACAGAATCCTGACTTAAAGCTCCTTTAGAGGCTCCCCACCGTCTGCAGTGGGGACAGTGTAAAAGCCCCCATTACAGACAACACCCTTGGCATTCTGATTCCTCCTCGTCTCGCTGACCTCATCTGCCATCGCATACACACCTCAACATCCCACGTTCTTTCACACCACATGCCTTTACACGCATGCACTGTTAGCTTTGCCTAGAACAACCCCTTTCATCTTGTCCAGCTGAACTCCCATTCGGTGCAGTTGTCAGCCCCACGCTTCCTTCTCTACAGTCTCACCTGATTAGCTCAGGAGTTAGACGCGTATCCTCTCACACTTCCCAGCAGCCAGCTCTGACCTCCAGTCTATTACTCATCAGACTCTGGTGAAGATGTTTGCAGGTTTGTCCTCCCTACTGTGGGGAGGCGCGATGTTTTGTATTTGTATGGGTGCGTGGCACATAGTAGGTCTCGGTAAATGTTTGCTAAATGGATGTGAAGTACACCTAGCACGCAGAGGTGGTGGCAGTGGTGGGAAGCAAGATGCCAGTCCCCAGGGCTGAGCACAGAATCTCCCCAGATCTTAGACCAACTCTGAAGAGTGTAGGATAATTAACACCATAGTGTAGCGCCCCCTCTCCTCCCATTGTGCGTCTGCGTAGTCGGTGCGACCCGCGCTCCCTCTCAGGGGGGAGAGAGCTGATCTTCCTGGGCGCCTCTGACATCCACTCGCTCACTCATCAAAGGCTCACCAAGCGTCCACTTTGTGCTAAGTCTCATCTGTTTTGATTCCCACAATCTCTCTCGGCATTTTATCAATTTTTAGTCGAGAGAACGGAGGCTTAGAAGTTAATTTTCACAAAGTGGCACAGATGGCGAGCGACAGAGTTGGGAATTCACTGGTTCCCAGGCTCTGGAGGGTGGTGCCGGGCTCGGGAGGGCTGGACCGCAGCGGCTCTCACCTGGAACTGCTGCTGCTCGGAGCCGGGGTCGCCGCCGGAGCCGGGGCCGCCTTCTCCACCTTCTGCTTGGCCGCCGCGTCCTGCAGCTGCTGGGCGCCCGTGTGGATGGTGGCGGCCGGCACCCGGGCCACTATCCTGCGGGGACGGACAGGTCGCTGAGGTCCCCCGGCCTGCCCCCCACCGGAGTCCCCATGGCTCACGGGACCAGGGCAGGAGCGTACCCTGGAGGTGGCCGTGGGTTCGGAGGGGCGATCACTCTTACCTGTTCGTGGGCGGCCAAGCCCACGACCACAGGAGCCGAGACCCCGAGTTTCTCACCGCCTGCATGACTTGAATTGACCCCAACGAGTTCCCGTCCGCGGCGCCAGCACCTTGAGCGCCCGTGGGGGGGAGCCCCGAGGGAAAGTCACCTGACTCCTCTTCGCCGGGTCCGTTAAAGCGTCTCACCCCCGTGTATGTGCTCCATAGTAGCCGTCGCTGTGGTTTTCAGCTGGGGATTTCTCTCCTCTCCCCTAAATTCTAACAGAAGCCCCCCGTCGCCCCCCCCTCCGCATGGGAATGGTTCATCCTGGGCCTTCCGGACGCACCGCCCCCGCGCTGCCTTGTGGGAACACGGGATTGGCCGGCCGCGGCCGCGGTGCATCGCGGGAGAGCGGGGATGGCGGCGCCGGGAGCGCGCGCGCTGCTGGGGCTGGCGGCGAGGGGCTGTCGGCGCCCGCTGTGGCCCGGCGGCCCGGGTTCTCGCGGCCTGGCCCTGACGGCCGCCCCCTCGAGCGGCGCGTCCCCGTGGCGCCTGTGGGGCGCGCTGTGCCTGCAGCGGCCGCCGGTGGTCTCCAAGGCGCTGAGCCCTCTGCAGGAGGAGATGGCGGCTCTGCTCCAGCAGGTAGACTTGAGGCGCCTTCAGGGAACCCAGAGAGGCGCGCGGGCTCGGGTTCGGCCCCGACTCCGGCACCAGCGAGTCCGTGTGACCTTGGACCCGCTACCTCCCCACTCGGAACTTCAGGGCACTTACCGCGCAAAATGGCACCCGCCTCTGTGGTGGGCTTGGTGCACAGTAGGCGTCCGGTAGAAGGTAGTGTGTTCCCCGCGGCCTTCTTACCGTCTCCTTAGGCAGCTCTTCGGAGACGCTCCTTTTTGTTCGCGGTCAGCGCCCGACGGGAGCGGCGGTAAACGAGGCGGCCTCGGTCACTCTCACGGTGGGCGGTCCGGAGCGGAGAGAGTCTCTGTGAGGAGGGTTAGGGGAGGCGGCCGCCCGCCTGTGGGGTGCATGCGAGAGCCGGCCGTGGTCCTCCCGGGGCTTCGTGTGTGAGGCCGGGAAGGGGACGGGCAGGAACGGGGTGGCGGCGGCGAGGGTCTCAGTGCCCGCAGATGGCGACCGAGGGGCGGCCTGTGTCTCCAGGACCGGAGACATTGTTTGTCTTCGCTGCTGGGAGCTAAGGCTCCAGTCAGAGCGTGTACTCGGTCTGCGCCTGCCTTCCCAGGTGTTCGTGAGTCACAGACGAGCCCTGAGCCCTCACTGTGCACGGACACCGTGCACAGACACTGCACACAGACACTGTGCACAGACACCGTGCACAGACACTGCACACACACACCGTGTACAGACACCGTGCACAGACACTGCACACACACACCGTGCACACACACCGTGCACAGACACTGCACAGACATCGTGCTGCTGAAATGCCCCGCGCTCATGCTGGTGGGGGGCGGGCAGGAACCAGGTAGTCAGTCACAGGCTGTGTGCTCGGTGTACCGGCTAATAGTGCGGGGTTAAGTGTTAACACGTTAATAGTGCGGATTTTGTAATAAAAGAAAACACGATAATTTCAAGAGAAACATCAAAAGTCCTTGGTGAGTGCGGTTCCCATCCAGACTGACATGACTGCAGTGTGGCCTCTGTTACTCACCATCTTTTTTTTTTTTAAACTGTATTACTGATTCAGAGAGAAAGGGGGAGAGAGAGAGATAGAAGCATCAATGATGAGAGAGAACCATGGATCGGCTGCCTCCTGCACGCCCCACACTGGAGATCCAGCCCACAACCCGGGCGTGTGCCCTGACTGGGAATCGAACCCTGACCTCCTGGTTCATAGGTCAACACTCAACCACTGAGCTACACTGGCCGGGCTGTTCACCATCTTGGCCTCCAATCGCATGCTCACATTTTAGCAAATGTATCTCAAGCCCACAGTGCAGGTGCAGGTGACCTTTTTCTTTCTCTGTTGTTTTTTCCCCCTGTGGTGGTCTGATTGTATGTCTGGTTGTGTTGGGTGGTAAACTTCTGAGTCTGTCAGGTGTGCTGTAACTCTGTTTTATTCTGCCTCTTAATTTCCCCAGATCGAGATCGAGAGAAGCCGGTATTCAGACCACGAGCTCCGTGCTTTGGACGAAGCCCAGCGCCTGGCAAAGAGGAAAGCTGACCTCGATGACGATGAAGATGAACAGAATATATTGCTGGTTCAGGATTTGGAAGAAATTTGGGAGCAGAAATTCCTACAGTTCAAACCGGGAGCTCGAATAACAGGTGTGTGGTCTTTTTCAGGAGAAAAGGTTAAGAGGAGGAAGAGTATTCTGGTTCCCAAACGACAGTCACTTAACCCTGCTCTGTGTTTTAAGTAACAAATAATTGCAAATGACAAATCATCCGTCTGTCAGGTGGGAGGAAAATAATTTCCCCCCATTCCTCACATCTGCCCCCAATATAATTTAAGGCCTATAGTATTTTTGAATAGAAGATAAGGAGGTTTGGATAGCCTTCTTTCTCAGTTAAACTTTAGAAGTGTTTTCTGAATTTACCTCCTAGTTTGGACTGAGAGGGGGGGAAATTAAGCCTTTTCCACTAGCTCCCGGAGCTATATCTGAAAACCCCCCTAAAGCCCAGGGTGAGTCCTGTCCTGTTTCACAGAGGAATGCCAAGGAGAAAGGGGGCTGGTCAAGTCAGAAACAGGGTCGACACCAGGGAAGGTGCAGGGTCTGAGTTACTGGCCATTGCTTCTCTTTCAGAGGCTGAAAGTACTTCATGGTTTGCTCATCAAAGGAGAAGTTCAGCTTTTGGGTTCCTCTTCTTATATTTTAGTTTCCTCAAGATTGTGAGGTTTTACCTTGGACGAGGCCAGAGTTAGAGAGATGGGTCAGGGTTGTAATTTAATTAGAGTAATCCCCCCTTATCCTCAGGGAATACATTTCAGGACCCCCCCTCCACCCCCCAGTGGGTGCCTGAAACTGGATAGTACCAAATCCTGTATATACTGTGATTTTCCCTATACATATACACCTATGGTAAAATTTAATTTATAAATTAGGCACAGTAGGAGATTAACAGCTAGTAATAAAATAGACTAATTATAGCAATATACTGTAATAGAAGTTGTGAATGTAGTGTGTCTTTCTCAAAATACCTTATTGTGTTGTACTCCCCATTTCACTTATAGGAAGCACTTTATGGCTTCTCTTGGGCATATCTGAATGGCTAGCATTACTACTCTTGCACTTTGGGGCCATGATGAAGTAAAGTAAAGGTTATTTAAACACAAGCACTGTGACAGTTGATCTGATAATTGGAATGGCTGAGTGACTGATGGGCCAGGAGTGTACACAGCCTGGAGACGCTGGACAAAGGGATGGTTCAGAGCCCTGGGGGATGGAGCAAGATGGCACCCCATTTCATCATGCTGTTCAGAATGCGGTGCAATGTAAAGCTTTTGACTAGTTTATTTCTGGAATTTTCCATTTATGATCTGATTGCGGGTAACTGACACGGCAGAAAGCACAGCCACAGATGGAGAGGGACTCTGTCGGTTTTGTTGAGAGCAAGCATGTGGCTCTACCTTAAAGGAAGACTGTAAAGCTCTAATCTCCCTGGTTCTGGCAGATCACGTGACCTTGTCCCCTCTGACGCCCATTTCTTCGCAGAAGCCGATGACAAGAACGACCGGACCTCACTGCACCGGAAGCTGGACAAGAACCTCGTTCTCTTGGTCAAAGAGAAGTTTGGAGACCAAGATGTGTGGGTGCTGCCCCAGGCAGAGTGGCAGCCGGGGGAGACCCTCCGAGCAACAGCTGAGCGAACCCTGGCCACGCTGTCAGGTAAGTGCTCGTCACCCTCTAAACCCCATGAGGTGTCTTTGGACTCAGCCAGAGGATTTAAAGGCTGACTGAGCACAGTTTAAAGGTAAGGATTTTCCTTAGATCAAGTGGGAGTTCCTTTCTCCCACTGAGATTTTTAAACTTAGTACATTGATTCTTGAACAACATGGGTTTGAACTGTGCGGGTTCACTTATATGCTGATTTTCTGGAATAAGTACGTACAGTACTGTAAGTGTATTATTGTTTTCTTAATAACGTTTTCTCTAGTCTACTTCATTGTAAAAATACAGTATATAATACACACACACGGAATATGTGTTAATTGACTGTTATTGGTAAGGCTTCTTGTCAACAGTAGGCTTTTATAATTAAATTTTGGAGGAGTCAAAGTTATATGTGGACTGTGGCTGCCTGGAGGGGGTGCCACTTTGTTCAAGGATCAACTGTACATTCAGCATTGTTCCTACCATTCTCTCAGCCTGCGTCTCTTCGTAGCCTTGCGCTTTGGCACCGCCACTTACCTGTTCGCCCACTAGAAGCCTCAGAGCTATCCTTGAGCGCATCCCGACGTCCATCAATTCTTGAGTCCTACCCGGTCTGCTCTAAGTACCTCCTCATTCCACAGCTCTGGCTTTGACACTTGACTTCCCCCCAGGGTCTCTCAGCCTCGCACCATTGGTGTTGGGGCCAGAGCATTCTTTGTGGGCACATTATGTGCCTGTGGCATGTACCCATTAGATGCCAGCGGCACTGACCCATCCCCACCCCCTGTCGTGTGACAACCAAAATGACAGCCAAACCGTCTAGATGTTGCCAGGTAATAGCTGGGGAGCGAAGTCACAATGCATGAGAACCACGACACTGGACGGGTAAAGTAGATTCCGAATGCGTTCCCCCTTTTGTGTCACAGCTTCAGTGCTGCCGGAATGGGCTTGCTCAAACATCCCTGTGGCTTCTCTCCCTGGAATCCTTACAAGGTTTCCCATAAAAGTGCGTACATTCAAGCATGGCCTGCAAATCCTTTCTGTTCTGATCGCGAGCTCATGAGTCTTCCGTCTCGCCTCATTAATGTGCAGTCTGCGTTCTAACCCAGCAAACCTTCTGCATTCGTGAATAATGTGGTCTTCCATGCACCTGTGCTTTGACGCATGCTGGTCCCCGATTGGATGCTTTTACTCCTGCTGGTCTGACTGCTCAGTGTTTAAGTCTCAGCTCGTTGGTTAACATACTGTGGTGGGAGTTTCTCCAGGCCTGCGGGTAGAGAGAGCTCCTCCCTGTGGCTCCGTAGCTCTGCCTGTGCCTTACTCAGTGTATATAGCAAACACTCCGCCTTCCATTTGCCGGCCCTGTGCAGGCAGGGGGTCACCGTGATGACATCACAGGACATTCCTGCTCCCTGGGAGCTTCTGTTCTGGTGGAGGATGCTCT